ATTTGCATGAAGTTTTAGCATGAAGTAGTGATTTAGATTAATTTGATGTATATTCTGAACCCCACTTCCTTGTGGAAGTTCAGTTATAAGTTTAGATTTACTTAAAAAGTCTGCACTGAATAGCACTAAATCATGGCTTCAAAGTAAAACCAAAGCAGACATAATGTTCACTGTAATGGATCCTCTACAATTCCAACAAGTTTAAAGTCTCTGCAAGCGGATATACTGTGACGTCACATACAGAGATGAATGAACACCAGTTTCTTTTTTTTTCAGTACATTTCTGCTAAGGGCCTAACCTAATACTGTCTATTTATGTCATATTTGGGAAATGATCTGCAGTATTGTCAAATATAAATCGTTTGTAGTGAATACAGCAGACCAAAAAAAGACTAAAACTAAAACACTAGTACAGTCTTCTAATTACTTTTTTTTTTGTTTCTGCCTGCATCTGGATTCTCAAGTGTTGTGGATAAATAATTTAGTTTCTGTATAAATAATATGTCTGGCACATACAATTTTGCAAAGGAATGAACACACTGTGCAGTACATGACCCTGTCTCCTTCGACCTGACAGAGTGGGGTCAAAACCTAATCATTGATCTGCACTCAAAAGTCTTTGGAGTTCAAATTTATAGTGCCAGGTAAGTCCTTGGGGCTGCTCCTCAGGCCTGATACAGTTCCTTTACTGGCCATTATAATGAGGCTTTAAGCAGCGTGGCAACTGTAAATCTGCTACGCTAAGATTGCACTGCTCCTGGTCTGACTGGACCTCACCTCACTAAATCTCACATCCAGGACCAGAGAATGATTTATGGTCCTCTCCTGAGCCCACTCGCCAAAGTCAGCAAATGATCGCAAGGATCGTCACTAATGCATGTTGCTCAGAAAAGAATTAGGCCCAACATCTGTGCTTAGTCTGGGGGTGTCTTCTTGAGGATGCTGTTTGACAAAAGTTGTGAGGAGCCTTATGCTGACTTGTGACTACATTCTGGGTTCAAGACAGTTACATGAAACAGACTACAAACTTTGAAAATTTGTAGAAAATCCTCGGCTATCAGTCTAAAAATGATTTCTTGGATTGTACACATGTTGTAATTGTAAGTATTGTGTATTTTTTTCTGTAGTAAGGGAAGATAATGATAATTTATTAGGGTGTGGGGGCAATATAGAGAAATGTGTCATACTAAGTGCATTAACTGTATAGTATTACCTCCCTCCACCACCAAATCCAACAGCAAAAATATATTTTATGTTAATGAATAAAGCCCCTCATCCCTTTCAATATGCAACATACAGCAAATAACATGTGCACTGGTACATACAGCATATGTAACCTACTATCTACAACAGCTGCTGAGCTGGTGTAAACTTGCAGTAGCTGATCACAATCCGGGTACAGGACCTACAGGACTTGCTGGGCACGGAGAGAGCAGCGCGCCAGGACAGGCTGCTGCGCGTTGGAGGAGCGCAAAAGACCCGTTTGCCTATAGGAGGAGAAATTGCGAATTTTATGGGGAGGATTGTTGGAAAGTAACCCCAACGACGAGACAACAAACTTCGCTATACGGTAAATGATCTATTTTTTCAGGCATCAGCACAGTGCTGATTTAAGTGTCCAAACCGTGAGCGCGTAAGGTCCGGTGGCATGTCCGAGAGGAAGAGCGCTGAACACCGCAGCTTTGAGGCTTCTTCACTGACAACTCCAGCGGATCAGATGGTGGCGAAAAAATGACTCGGGCTCTCTCCATCCTCGCTTACCTTTTCTCTTTGGTCCACTGTAAGTATGTCTTTCTTTAGGTTCTGTAAATTAACCTGCTAATTTAGGTTGTTCTAGTATGTGCCTTTATCTGTGCCATCTCCAAATGTATTTAGGTGAGACGTGCCTCTGTGCTGAGAAGTGACTGTCTTGTGTCCCAAAGTCGAATCGCAGCTTTTAATTTGAAGTGCAGATAAAAGTTTCACTCAGCTGCATAGTTTAAACGATACAAATGAACACGCAAAAATGCTTTAATTTTTTAATCATGACACCTAATTTGATTTTTTTTAAATATAAACTAAAAACGTAAAAATGTATGAATGGCAATAGCAAAGTTCAACTGAGATATGATACTACTGTTTTTCGATACAGTGCCATCAGAGGCAATTTGATGAGTCAGTCCTGCTATAAAATGTGGCCTGTAGCCACCAAATCAGCACTCATCTAAAGGTTTGAGCCATAAGTTGTCTATACAGCTGAGATGAAAAAACAGCACCTTAAACCTATAATAATTCAGGAAAACCATTCTTCTCTTAACTTCTCCAGCATCACTATTTCACATGACCAACTGGGTTTACTTGGTCAGATCTGTGGGACTCTAAGTTTACACAGCAGAAGTTCATAAAGTTCCTCATACTGTGACACCCCCTGTGTAATTTTGTCAGTCAGTTATGACATTTAAGTGATGGATCCCTACGTATTTCATATGAGACAAAGCTTTTTACTTCTTCTTCTTCTTCTTCTTCTACTGTTTTCTCCATATAAGAAGAAGGTGAAATACAAAGAAGTAGGAGAGAGACAAATCTGTGTTTATATACTTTGTAACACCTCACTCAACCTTTGCCCCGTGTTTTGGTTTATTCACACACTTGATTATGCTCTCATGTCTCCAACTGTATTGCATTTTTGGATAATCATGTTTTTCAGTGTGCTGTGCAGACTGACCTTATCAACTCCACAGCGGCTGACTAGCATTGTATTAATACGCCTGACCTCACTCTCAATCAATGTAACGTCAACACAACACTTACACACATGAAACCTTCACACACATACACCAGTGGCAGTCCACAGCAGGTAATCACAGGTTTGGGTGGTCCACCAGTGGCCTTCGCCTCTGGGGAAGGCAGAGCATGTTTGACTCTGGTTTCCGAGGGCTTTGACAACACACCATCTGTTGAGGAGTGCTGTGGAGGTCCGACTGTGTTGAATGGGACCTCAGCCAAATGACTGACAATGGCACAGTCATGGCAGCATGCGCTGACCCACGGGGCTCGACTGTCGGTATGCCACGCCCTGCAAAGCTCCAGGAGTCTGTGGGTTGATAATGACACACACAGTTTGATCCTGAGCAAGAGGAGAAGCATTGGAGCTGGAAGTCTGGCACTGTCTTTACTTATAGTACACAGCATCTCCACATACAGTAGCTACACAAATGAACACGTGAGATGAATCTCTGAGGTTCTGCAGCCATGAATATCACTCTGCAGAATATTGACAACAGCAGCAATTATTCTTCAGTGAGCCCATCAGTAAGAGTCACCTCACCTCATTGGCATTTTTCTCACGAGTAAGCCGACTCAGCTACTCCAGCTGTAATAACCTGTATGTAAAGAAAATGGAAGAGGTAGCACTACATGTATTCATTCTGCTCCAGATGAGAAGCACTGATCATCAGTTTCAATCAGGCTTGTCTGTACCTCTGACATGGGCATTCATTTATCAGGGATGGAGGGAAGGAGTGTAAGTGTTGATATTCATAGCTAATTCTAATTTTAAAAGATACATCCAGTGGTTTGACTTTGGGCAAAAGCAGAATTATGCTGTGAAAATATCTGCCCTCATCCCAAATGTAATTTTAAAATTACTTCGGGGTCTTCATAACATTTCAGTGTAATTTCCACAACACAGTCATCCCTGGCAATCTTAATTGACAGCTGCTGTTTCCCTTAAGATTTGGAAAGTTGAACGTGTGGTTTGTACAAATTAGTTTGACACATTGGTGAGTATTTAGAAGAGGAACTTTACTTTGCGAAGCAGATTTGTTTACTTCCTTTTAGCGTTTCAGTTTAGCACAGAGGATATGACTGTACTTTGTCTACAGGGAGTTGCTGTGCAGGGTTAAAAACAAAATCAATTAAACCCTACACTCTCTCTTACACAATGATTTTTGGTTTGAGAAATGTTTGAGAGATATTTGTGTATATCAAATCAGTACATTCAAAAGGTTTGATGGCTGACCCATCCCTATCCATGTTTAGCCAAAAAAAAAAGGGTAAATTCAATTTTGGACCAGTATCATATCATGGCAACAGTCCAAAGCAGGAAGTAGTGCACCCTTTATGTAAAGAAGGAGATAGTAATAATATGGACGTCAGGGTGGTGGGCCAGGGAGTTTCCAGCTTTCATGTTATAGACCAGTTCATGTGCTGTCACGGACAAACAATAAATGCCTAACACTTTAAACACAGGAAATTAAAAAAGGCATTTTCCAAGTACTAATTCTGTGTCTGTATGTTAATTTGTGACTCTAAATTGTCCTTAGGTTAGGCCCTTAACACGAATGGTTGTTTGTCTCTTTGTGTCAGACCTGTGATAAACTGCCAGCGTGTCTAGGGTGTACCCCGCCTCTCGCCCAGTGTCAGCTGGAATCGACTCCAGCCCCCAGAGACCCTGTAAAGGATAAGCGGTTATAGATGATGGATGGATAATTCAGTGTCTTTGTGTCAGTTATGTTATGGCTTGGTTTATACCACATATGTATGAAAAAAATACATCATCTTGGGAAAGGGTAAAAAATAATTATACAAAATGAGATTTGGGGCAGCTGGATTGTTTGGACCATAGTGGGAAAGCACTGCAGTACACTTAGCCAATGACTTCTCACTGAATGATTTCCATGCATCTCCATCCTCAATTTCAAAAATAGTTCAGTGTGACAGCTGAATGTAGTGGCTTTAAACAACCAACTCAGCAGTCAAGACACGCAAAGAAGTGGAGCCAATCTGTACTTGTTAGTACTAATGGATTGAAAATCAGTAAGGAAAATACCAGTATGCTAAAAGAAAACAAGTAGCTAGCCATATCATAATAATGGTCTAATGTGTAATAAGCTTGGTTTCAAGCATAAAGTCTCTCTCCATGGAACACAAGTCTAATGATCTAAAGGTTTTGTCTTGCTATTTATATTTTGGATGTCTATACCTGTGCTCAAACTGTAACTGTGTCCCCAGGTAGCAGCTGTGCTTACTCAGAGGAGTGTCTCATGAACACTTTGCTTGAAAAGAAACGCTATAATCCGCTCATCCGCCCGGCTGTCAACAGGACCGAGAGAGTCACAGTGAAGCTGCAAGTGTCTCTGGCTCAGCTCATCAGTGTAGTAAGGCACCAAATTCTCTTGTCCACCATGACAATGTGTGTGTATTCATTTATGTGTGTGTGAGGGAATTAATATGTGCAAGGGTAACAAAGACGGAGACAGAAAGAGAAAGACAGAGTGAAAGAAGGAGAATAATAGAAAAGACAGAACAAGAGCCACAAAGCTTTGAGAAAGCAGTTAATTACAAACCAGCCTGTGCAGAGAGGCTGTAGCTCTAAACAGATGGATAAAGTAGAGGATAGATCTGGTCAGCTGTGATCTCTGCCTCTGTCATGTTCAGATTGAAACTTCAGCACATTGGATTAAAAGGAGCCATAAAGCTGTTTTAGCCACAGTGATAGAGGCTGCCCTCTGATTTACAGTGGAGGCTCCTCCCAGCTGCAGACCAAGGCAGCAAGGCTCATTCTCAGCTTCAGTTTATGAGACTGCATTGTACCCCTTGGAGTAATTGGCATTTGGTATCACTTTATTGGAAGCGTATGTCATAGCAGTGTGATGACAATGCCCCCAACAAACATGTTAACAAGCAATCTGTAAAGAGAGGTGGATTTAAATGCAGTTATTTTTTACTTTACTTCAAGCAAGAGTAAAGATGACAGAAAGAAGAAGGTTCATCTGAAGTGTTAGAAAAACTATCCTTGGTCACTGATTATTAATTTTTTATCCATTACTTTTATCAAACAATTTCAACTGTTCATCCACATTAATTTTAGATAACAATGTCAACTGTTTATATATTACTTGTTTAAATCAGTGTTAGCCAGTGTTATACAGTTATAAAATTTGCAAAAATGTCATAACCACTTTATTGTTCTTTCTGAGTCAATAGTATTTGTGTTCTGCAAGTAATTACCACCTAACGTGTACATTTCCAGAATGAAAGAGAACAGATCATGACTACAAATGTCTGGCTCACTCAGGTAAGTGTGACAAAGCTCAGTTATATACTCTCAGTCAGCCGATGTCTTGTTAAATGTCCTTTCCTCTGAACTTGAATTAAACCATATCCATTCTTCTTCTCTCAATGTGGAACAAAGTGCTTCTGTAATTGTGCTCCAAACGTATTTCAATGATAATGAAGCATGTAATTAGAAATGAGCTGGTCTTGAGAAAGTGTGTTGAAGTAAAGACTTGACGGCCAGCTCTCTCTGTCTCTCCAGCACTGGGTGGATTACAGGTTATCATGGGACCCTTCAAAATACGAAGGTATCGACAAGCTACGTATTCCTTCCCGACACATTTGGCTCCCAGATATTGTCCTGTACAACAAGTAAGCATCCCTAAAATTGATAGTGTTAGTTACAGAGAGATTTTACGTGCATTTATGCAATGTTTGCATTAAAAAATTAAAACAGACATTAATCTTTTTAAAAATCTGTCTATGTTTTCTTTGTAAGATTCAATCTCATCATTAATATCTTTCCCAATTGATTGTCTGAAAGCCTCTTAGGATGAGGGTTTTAGTCTGTCCTCTGTGGATTTCAGTTTTGATATTGATTTGACTGTCCTTGGCTGGGGAAAAAACCAATACAAATTTTCAGTATGAGTAGCTTTCCTCTTATCTTCTCTATGGCCCTAAGCCCATTAAAGTTTTCTTTCTCTATCTTCTTCTTCTCATAGCGCTGATGGTACCTATGAGGTGACAGTCTTTACCAATGCCGTTGTCCTTTACAATGGCAGCATCAACTGGCTTCCTCCAGCCATCTACAAAAGTGCCTGTAAGATTGAGGTCAAGCATTTTCCCTTCGACCAGCAGAATTGCACCCTCAAATTCCGCTCTTGGACATATGACCATACGGAGATCGACCTGATCCTGAAGTCTGAGGTGGCTAGCATGGATGATTTTACTCCCAGTGGTGAGTGGGATATCTTGGCGCTGCCAGGCAGACGAACTGTCAACCCTCTGGATCCCACCTATGTGGACCTCACGTATGACTTCATCATCAAGAGGAAGCCCCTTTTCTACACCATCAACCTCATCATCCCCTGTGTTTTGATCACCTCTCTGGCCATTCTGGTCTTCTACTTACCTTCAGACTGCGGGGAGAAGATGACCCTCTGCATCTCCGTCCTCTTGGCTCTCACTGTGTTCTTGCTTTTGATCTCAAAGATTGTTCCTCCCACCTCACTGGATGTGCCACTGATTGGCAAGTACCTGATGTTCACCATGGTGCTGGTGACCTTCTCCATTATCACTAGTGTGTGCGTGCTCAACGTGCACCACCGCTCTCCCAGCACCCACACCATGCCTTCCTGGGTCAAGCTGATATTTCTTGTGAAACTGCCTGCCTTGCTCTTCATGAGACGCCCTCACAATAACTCTGCACGCCAGAGACTTCAACAACAGCGGTGTCTACGGGCGAGGAGAGCCATTTTGGGCTTGGGTTACCCAGTTGGATCCAAAACAGGTATCAACATGTCGTCTTCTGCCCTGCTGTCTTCCGACTCTGTATTGTCCAACCCAGGACACCAAAATGTAGCTCCACCACTAAGCTACAGCCACTCTATCAGGAAAGGGGATGTGCGCCCCACTGATTACCTTCCTAGTGGTTTGACTTCTCCCCAAGACCTCCAGCAGCGAAGCAACTCAGATTGGGCTGCTGATGTCCAGGAGGCAGTGAACGGGGTGCGCTTTGTGGCTGAGCACATGATGGGAGATGATGATGATCAGAGTGTATGTATAAATTTAAACCTAATATTTTATTGCATCTATACAGCCATAAAACAATATTTCTGTATTTTTTATTTGCCACTAAAAAATATCACATCTTTTTGCATGTTTAAGGGTATAAAATTGAAATAGATAAAAGTGAATCACTGACCAAAACATGAGTATATAAACATTTCCTACACAAGTTGAACTGTGGATTATGTAGGTAAACGTTTTAAACCAGGAAGAAAAATATGTGGAATAAAAATGACACAAAGTTATGGGTGCAAAGATATTTTGTAAAGAAATACTACATTTACAAAACAAAAAATTACATTTTTTGTGTATGGAGTAAACAAACACACAATGTGTTCATCTGTGAGTTTTAGAGGTGCTGGTAGGTGAATTTTCTGACATTTGGAGAGAGCTGTTTTTCCCTGCTCACAGTTTATGCTAGCCTTGAGGAATAAATTCCCACAGATACAAGATAAACAAGAGATAAACAGAAAACGTGTGACAAAAACCTGATCCCAATAAAGTGGACGAAGGGTGTTTGATTGACATGATAATATTTATATTCTGTGACCCCCGAGGTGCAGGAGGAGATACCACTATCCTTTAAGTGGTGGCTGTGACCCAGAAAATTAAAGGTAGAATTTGGGTAATCAATTGCTTTCTCTGATAAATCAATAAAACAAGGAGGGAACCAGGAATGAGAATGATTTGTTTCAAAAGCTACCAAGGACAGCACTGAAAATGAGGTAAAAGGGTCAATAGCTATTTCAGTGCTGGTCTCAGCAATACGGAAACAGTCCTTACAGGGATGTAACTTAACTATGTTTCTGTTCAGATATTACTCTTTCATTATCATAAGAGTAAGTGTACCTCAGCAATATTACTGGTAAGACTGGATGTAATACATATGTAAATGGTTATAACAGAACCATGTATGTTCCAATTCAATACAATTCAACTGATTTCAAACACAATCTACTACCAGACACATTTACATTATTTAATGTGTCATTGTAGTTTTATAGTTTGTTTGGATGCAAAAGATAAAGTTTATTTTGCCAAAACATGCAGAGTGACTAATTTAAACTTGGTTTATGTATGTTTGCAGGTGATTGAGGACTGGAAGTATGTGGCTATGGTGGTGGATCGTATGTTCCTGTGGATCTTTGTGATAGTGTGTGTGGTGGGCACCCTGGGCTTATTTCTTCAGCCAGTCTTCCAGAGTCAGATTATTCCCAGCCAGCAGCCCAGCTCAGAAACCCCTCGCATATGATGAGCAATGAACAAGACAAGGCAAGTTTTAGGTTTTTTTTTCTTCAGCAATTAAGATGGTAGGATATATTCATATAAGCAGATGCAGACCAGTGGTAGTTGCAAAGTCTTTTTTCTTATAGCCTGTAATGCCATATTGGTGGGGTCAAAAAGCACAAATAGCAAACATCATGCGTGCCAAACCCCACAAATAAGGCAGACAAACCAAACAAAAAAGTACTTGCAACTACTCATTGTGTACAACAGTGGAACAGACAGGATCTCTGTGCGAGATAGAATGTGGATAAAATGTCTCCTAATAACCAAGACCATGTGGTTTTCAGCAGTACAACCCTCAGCATTTTGAGGGAAATGGGTCATCTGAAAAGGACCTAATGTGGAATCATCGCAGGTGATTTCCCTTCATGTCTACAAAAGACAGCTGCAGACCTGGACTGAATACCTCTCACAACACTGTCACAGTATGCTGAACTGTTGCAGAAATTTTCCCAATGTGACAGACACATGAGGAACATCTGTCTGCTGTCAGATGTTGTGTGGCTCCTTATTTGTGTTTATAATATGTCATTAAAATGTGATGTGTGATAAAAGAATGAACAATAAAAGCAAATGTGTGTCCTCTTTCAGTTTGATTAAATGTATGAAATCCCCAATAAAGTCTTAAAATTGTCAGGGTCTTGCCAAAGTGCTTAGTTAATCTATGTTGCTGGTGATAAAGTTTGTCCTCAGAGCCAATACGTAAGCTGAAGATGTGCCAATTAGAATTATACATCACATAGATAAGACAGCTGTTCACTTGAATGTGTGAGCAGGCAAAAAAATATGTTGATACAACACAACCGTTGGAGATGGATCTTGAGGACAAGTTCTTTTGCTATAGTTATAGCAACAGACCTGACACATACAGAACCCTTAAGCACTCTATGGCTTTAAATCTGTGAAGAAGAAAAAAACTAAATTCATTTGCTCTAGACACTGTAATCTTACAGCCACTCATTTTTGCCTTTACACCAGAGTTGATCTCTGTTAAGTGCTTATTTGTACAGACGGGCAAGTGCAGGCACACATAAATGATGCTTTACAAAACGCAAGACATGGTGAACTGAACCTTCACCCACCCCCACATACACAAACAAACACACAACATTTACTGCTCAATAAACAGTGCTGAGTGGGCTTGTTAGAGATTCTGCAGACTGTTGGTTCTTTTGTGAGACCTTCATTTAAATCAAGAGATAGCAATCAGCATCTATGTTAATGGCCGGACTTGCTTTGCTTTAATCTCTGTTTACAGTTTTCATGATCATTCTAGGCTTTTTCATTGACCTGTTAGCTTCCTGTCAATAGTGAAAAGAGACGGCACATTGCCACAGCATATCCATCAACAGTTAATCTGTTCAATCCAAGCTAAGCAGGAGGAGTTGTCATTCAACACTCTGTAGAAGGTCCCATAAATCACAAGCTTTATGTCAGCAGCCTTTTGTCATTAGTTTCCAATAAGGGATGCATGAAAACTCCAAGAGTTATCCTTCTATGTAAACAAGCATATATATATTTATAGCTTTTACTAAGATCTACCGTAATATAGTCCTTGGAAAGTTGAAGATTCAGACGAAATTACATGTTTCACTCCAAGTCAGGATAACCTTTGCAGCATGAGATGCTTGGAAACTGTTTGTCACTAGGATAGTCTTGTTAAATGATGCAAGCCTCCGCTGAAGTATTCAATGTGTAGGAGAAAGAAAACGTAGCGAAGGTCAAATTAACATTTCCTTCTATTCTCATGTGATGTAACTCTATATTAATCCCCCATGGGGGCGATTCTCTTTTCACCTGTCCCACTAAAAGGAGTTGAGTGTGCAGGGTCAGACACCAGACAGCATCTCTGGTGCTGGTGGGGATTTATTTATTGTTTGAGGGCAGTTCAGCATGGCTGAAAAGCACTTGGACATCCCCTTAATCCAGCTGAAGGACAGGACTGTCACCCCACTGGACCACCCTGCTGACTAAATGAGAGAAAAATACTGCTCTACACTAACAATCAAGAAAGAAACAAGGAAAGCCAGACTTCAAAGAAAGAGCAATAACCCAATTATAAGTTGGCTTTCCAGCCAATATTGATATATATTTAAAAGAAAAAACACAGGATATTATGTGAAAACCAACATAAAGAATCAATCAGTCAATCAAGAAAAATGTGGTTATGTTCTTAAGGTGCCACTGAGGGCCACTCAAACCCTATCCCAGTGGAACACAGGGGCTATTTATATTGTTTGCTGAACTGAAGGCTATTTGGTAATTTAATATGGACGTCTGCTGCACTGTTTGGGTGTTTGAACACCACCTGGGTCCATGTTCACTACCCACGGATGATGTTAACTCTGCACAACCTCGGTGCCAAAGTGTCTTCATGCAAAAGATCCAAATGGCTTTGAGTTAAAGCCCCTGAAAACCTGGCTTCAGTTGTATGTGTTTTGTTATAACATCATATAGTTTTGAATAAATAAATAACAATCAAAGTTTTTTGAAAAGTATTAACACTATAAGTAAATAACAAACGCAGTCTGTGGGTGTGGTTGGAACAGATTTGATTGACAGTAATCAAACAGCCCAACAACTGTCATCAGATTCTGATTAACATGCTTAATCCTGATTGGTGCACAAAAGTACGTGACATATCGTTTTACCAACTGAGCCTGGCCCACTTCAGACCAGTGAAGCTCTGAAGAAATAAAACAACACAGATCTCTCGTCAGATAACCAAAACCGGTTCTAACTCTGGTGGAAAGTAGTGTGTTTCATATAGGATCCCATCCCTCACAGTTGATTAAATAAAGGTCTTTAAAAAGAGGGAGGATATTTTTTTTCCCCAACTCCCCCCACTCTTGTTTAAAGCAGTGTCTTCCAAAAAGTGCGCAATCTAATTTCAGTCGGTTCTATGGTGGGTTGTTTTTCCCCATCCAAAATGCAGACACGTCTTGATTTTGACTCCTTCTTTAATGAACTAGTCAAAATCAATTAAATGCCTGATTTGTAGCCTGTTGTGATCTTTAAGTGGCCATTTCCCCCTTTGTTTTATCAGAGGAAGTCGCAATTGGTGGAATCTTTTTTTGCAGTGGCAATGTGCCTCCTATCCGTGACTGTGTGTGTCAGTGTGGCTCTGCCTCCCTCTCTCTGCCTCTGTCTGTAGCTGCGGACGCGCTTTCACTCTTTCCACTTTCTCCTCCTGTCTGCTCCGGGAGCGCTGCTGCCACTGACCCTGGATCCATTGCAATTCGTCATTTGAAACAGGATGAAAGCCAATTTTTACTTCGTTTTGCCCGCATGTTCTTTCCTTCTGTTTCTTCTCCCAGGTGAGTAATAAGCTGGGCTACTACTTTGACATAACATTTTGTGACTTACTTGTTGCGTTACATAACTGTGTTTAATAATATTGCCTCAGTTAATGATAAAAAAATGCCTTTTACCTGTACAAAATTAGAAATTCAGTATACGAGTTACTGTAGCCTATATATTATTATTATAAGCATTTTCAATAGAAATATCCTCACATTGAAATCCTACAATTTATATAACTTAAACATTCTGGGAAATCAAGGTAACAAATGAGGATTTATGGCTATTTATTTATTTATGGCTATGTTGTTAATCAATTTAAGGGGATGCATGTGTTTGTATGGGTGCCAATTATTATTCTTTACAATGTGGAAATAAATCAGAATAGCACAGCTAACACGCTAAGACTTACACTGCTCTTCTGGATTGATGATAACTAACAAACAATCATCTGGCTGTTAGTCACCTTGTAATCAAGCTGAACTGTTAGATATACCCAATTAAAGCACACTGCAGTGACATATCCATGTCTGACCCTCTGCTTTTATTCAGGAGGCTCCTGTTCAGAAGCAGAGCACAAGCTGTTCTCTGTGATATTCACTAACTATAACCAGTACATACGACCGGTGGAAAATGTGACCGACCCAGTTATTGTGCAGTTCGAGGTGTCCATGTCACAGCTGGTCAAAGTGGTGAGTAGCCTGCAAAATGTTTTTTCACTGTTTCTGTGAAGTGTTGATGTCTGGACTGCTACTTCCCCACAGTCAAGCATATCACTCTGCTTAATGAGCAGTCATGGCCTGAGAGAAAAAACGGCGTAAAACATGGAGCATCTGAGCATGAGAAGAAACAGGTTGTGTGTCGATTAGTGGACAACAAAGTTTTAGAGAAGGGGACAATTGCAATCTGAGACACCTGAGATAGCCTATACTCGCTGCCACTGCACAGTAGCCCCTGGTTTATAATCCTGAGGAGGGAACTAGATGAAAAGGGGCTATGTGTCTGGCCAAGACAAGATGGGAAATGTCAGCTGTCTGAGTACTTCTCTGTTTCGGCAGCCTCAATCACTGCCACCTCAGATTTGGGTTTTGCTGGAGCTTGCTGACTGCCGACTGGCGGGGCAGACAGACAGCTCTCTAACTTGACTCAGACAGGTCCAGAGTGGATGTCAATAATTAAGCAAAAAGGCTCGCGTTGGACTAGGAGGACAGCTTCATTCACAAAATGAACAGCTTTAGTTATATTGTACACCAATACGTTCTGCTTGCGTTGATTGACAAGAGGAGACACTCATCAGCTCTTTCACAACATTTTAACCGTAACAGCCTTTCACTGTATCAAAGGGATTTGCGTTAAAAGAAATTTTGGGAAACTCACTTATTTTTTCTTGCAGAGAGTTAGATGAGAAGCTCCATATTGCTCTCTTGTTTGAACAGTAAATACAATGCTACAGTAAGGACACTTGTTAGCTTAGCTTAGCATAAAGAATGAAAGCAGGCGGAAAGCTACAGTAGCATGACTCTGTCCAAAGGTGAAAAAAAATCACCCTCTTAAAACTGAAAAGAGGTGCAGTGAGTTAGAGGTGCTGATAGATCCAGGCTAGCTGTTTCCCCTGTTTCCAGACTTTGTGCTAAGCTAAGCTAACCGTCTCCTTTTTATCAGCCAATAGCAGCCAAAAATATAAAAGTATGTCACTATGTTTGCAGTAGTAGCCTATGTAGACAAGGTTTTTTCAAGATAGAATAGATCATGTGGGGTCTGACACATTGCAGCCCATCTCCATCCGTTTTCCTACACAGGCAATCTTTTTTTTTCTTTCTCTAAAGAGATAGATGAGTATTGAAGACCAGTCTGGATCTAGAGATGACAAAAAGATGAAGCATATTTTGTTAGATTCTCTTTAAACCAGTTGATGTAGCAGGCTGCAGAGCTCCTCGCGCTGATGGATGACTATTAGTCCCTCCCCACACCTGGTGCTCCTAACCCAGATGCAATTGATATTGGTCAGCCTACACCAATTACAGCAGGGGCGTATGAGCTCATTTAAACCATCAATAGCTCATCGGCTGAGCTGGCTCGGTCATCATCTCACAATCTGGAATCATATAAAGCAGGTGGCGGTGTGGAACAGTGGTAACAGAGACTGTATGATGAAGAAATAGCATAGTGGTGGGTTTCTTGCAAGACGTACATGAGAAGATTGATACCACTCTCATGTCTTTCCATTAAATATGCAGATATTGCCAGGAATCAGTGCTTAGCTTAGCATAACGCTCCAGGGCTTTAGTTTCATATTTAAAGCACTGAGAGTGGTATCAATTTTCTCATCTAACTTTCGGAAAGAAAGCAAAGTATTTCCAAAAATGTCTTACTATTACTTTAAGTCCTCGGCATGATCAGATCATGTGGTCAGTTGGAGTATATGTTCCCAAGATACAGTACCAGATGAAATGGTGCTACTCCTGCATTTCGGCCATTCCAAAAACCATGCAGATATCCAAGCCTTTATTGTACATCCTGGTGAATAAACGAACTGAATTCTAAATGAATCTTTCACTGACCTGAACTGGAACATATTGTATTTCCTCTCTGCACTGAATGATGTGGTGCTAAGATGCAGGATGTGTGTCTTAGCTATAAAAGGTCTATAAAATCACCATTCTGTCAAAGATAATCCAATTAAAGTTGTCCATTGGCCTTCTGTCCACCTGTGCCTACCAGCCATGCAGAACCTCGCCTGGATACTAAATAGTAACACGAATGGTTAATGTTATGCACTGGGTCATGAGATTTGTTCATTCACGGTCTAAGTCACACATAAGCCTGACGTCCACAGTTTTTCTCCCTTCCCCCCCTTAGCCTCTGCTACAGCTTTATCACAGAGTTGTTAGCATAAAAGTTAAGGCTGTGCTGCGACCTCCTGGTTCCAGCTGTCATGTGGGTTACGCTCCAGGTGTGGAGGACTCAGGTGTGCCTCTCTTAATCCTCCTTTCTGGGATACGCAGGGGTCTGACCCTGCAGACAAAACATAAACAATCCTCCTGTTGTGAATTGGATGATAGCCTGTGACAGTGTTCTTCCTGTTTAAATGTATTGGTTTTTCTTTGCTTCTATGTCTTCATTATCAATTCTGTTCTGTTCTCAGGATGAAGTCAATCAGATCATGGAGACAAATCTGTGGCTAAGACATGTAAGTTTATGATACATGACTGTGCAAATGGACCTTGAGTAAGGACATCAAGTATGGATCCAGCCTTCTGTCATATAGGATTCTTTGGGGACAGACTGACAAGTTGAATTATTCATGGAAGGGAGCTTTTTAAACACATTGATCCTTCTAGTCTGTTTTTTTTTATATCCCATGCACTGAGAGTTCATGGGCAGTTTTATAATGTTTCTAAAACAATTTGACAGTTGTCTGGAATTTATCATACTTGCCAAAGTCCATATTATTCCTTTTGAGACTGTGACACAAACCATCTGCAGTATATTGAACCTAAAGGAATAAACAGATTTACTAAGTCTACAACAGAAATAAAGCAGTGCCCATGCATGCTGTATGGCTTGGTAGTTTTGTCATTTACCTAGCCCCACATGATGTTTCTGCTGCCATGATGCATAGTGCAGTGAACCAGTTTTGAATCAAATGAGGCAGGGCAGGTCTCCAGGTCCCATATTACAAGTGCCGAGCAAATACTTATCTGTGCTGGAGCCATGTTCATGCTAAAGGGTTGAGCTGTAATTGCTCTTTGGTGCTGAGAGCTGAAGCACTTATTTTAATGTTATCTGTTGTTTTAGAGTCTCTCTAAGCAACGTACAAACAGCATGGTGAGGTACATTTCCCCTGTTGGCCGTACAAATCCTACAATAAAATTAAGATTCTTACAATTTCTTAATTAAGTGAAGGTTGCTTCATTATTGTTGCTTTATGGGTCTCATGAGGATTACTGGCTGTCCTCAAGAGGGGGTCAAAATAGTGGCCAAATGGTCCATAAAACACACTGTAAACTGTGGTCCATTATATCTCCTCTCAAACTACATAAAGTATAAGCTCTGTTTATATGCCACAGTTGGAGATGACAACTTCTCATTGTTTTTTATGAGGGGCATTTCACAAGAGAATGCGTTTAAATTCAATCAGAGTAGATTTTGCATAGTAAACGATGATCCCCAAGAGGAAACAACTGCTGCCCTCTTTTTTTATATCTGTTTTGTTGCTTTATGAAGCTGTTTACGACAAACTTGTTTTTTTTAAGCCGCTTGGATTGAAAGATTACTCTTGCCAAAGTTATGATTGTACCCTGGAACTTGCTATTATGTTTGTTTGGAAGGGATAATTTGCTCTAGGAATTGCAGTGTCTGTCTGTTGGTTGGCAGTTCTTTTGGATTGTCATGAAATTTTTTACAGACATTTATGGTCCCTAGAAAAAGCGTCTTAATAACTTTGGTGATCCCCTGACTATTTGTGGTTTTGAGTGAAAGGGATTACCATGAAATATTTGCAATACTAATTAGATTTCCATCCACCTCATAGTACTTTGTATTTGCTAACACAAGCATGCTAAGAAGTTTTAACTAACATGCATGTTAGCATGCTAAAATTTTATATCTTGTATTTTATGTCTTTGAATCAGCAGTGGAAGATAAGTTAATGAGTACTAAAATCTCTGAGTTTAGTGCCTTCATTGAGTTACAAATTCTGGTTAAAGGGTAAAACTAACCAACTTGATTTGTGAGCTGAATTCCGTTCAGAAAACAGATTCAAAACCAATTTCATTGTATACACACAGCAGGAGCTTCATTCATGTCTTAAATTGACTTCAAAATTGTTAGCCATTATTTTGGAAAGTTTTGTCTAATATTGTAATTTCTCTGTTTGTTTTTATTTATGTAAATGGATCACCCTGTTTTGTTTTTCAGATCTGGAATGACTACAAACTCAGATGGAATCCAAAAGATTTTGGAGGAGTCGAGTTTATCCGAGTGCCGTCCAACAGGATATGGAAGCCAGACATTGTACTGTACAACAAGTGAGCATAACAAACAAAAAATCTGGCTCAACAACCTCATTGATTTTTGGGTGCATTTATGTTAAAGGATTGCCAAACAGTGACAAGCTATATCAGTCTCCATTGCTCATTTTGCATGGGTTATTTTATGTTTTGCATATTCTTAACTGACTGGAATGGAGGGTGCAATTTACTGAAATGATAAAGCATCTTTTTTGATTGATATCTACATCACACAATAGTCAATTGATAATCCCCTTCTATTTAATCTTCAATCTCTAAACCTTCACTTTGTGTTCCTCTTTTGTTCTCTTACTCATTCTCTCTCTACAGTGCAGTCGGAGATTTCCAGGTTGATGACAAAACAAAGGCCTTGCTTCGTTACAATGGGGATGTTACCTGGATCCCCCCAGCCATATTCAAGAGCTCCTGCAAGATTGACGTCACTTACTTCCCTTTCGACTACCAAAACTGCACCATGAAGTTCGGCTCCTGGACATACGACAAGGCCAAGATAGATCTGGTGCTAATTGGCTCAACCATCAACCTCAAGGACTTCTGGGAGACTGGGGAGTGGATAATCATCGACGCCCCTGGTTACAAACATGACATTAAGTACAACTGCTGCGAGGAAATCTACACAGATATCACTTACTCTTTGTACATCCGCCGTCTGCCACTGTTCTACACCGTCAACATGATCATCCCCTGCCTCCTCATCTCCTTCCTCACCGTGCTCGTTTTCTACCTGCCGTCTGATTGTGGAGAGAAAATCACTCTGTGTATCTCCGTCCTCCTGTCTTTAACTGTCTTCCTCCTCGTCATAACAGAGACTATCCCCTCTACCTCGCTAGTCATCCCCCTGATTGGCGAGTACCTCCTCTTCACCATGATCTTTGTCACCCTCTCTATTGTCATCACTGTTTTTGTGTTGAATGTCCACTACCGCACACCAAAGACCCACACTATGCCCTGCTGGGTACGCAAAGTGTTCCTGGGATTATTGCCCAGGGTGATGTTCATGACTAGGCCAGAGAGGGACCCTGAGCAAGTAACAACGCCTGGCAATGTTCAGAGCATGCATTCAAGGCCCTGTGCTGTTCATTCATCAGGTACTTTGCAGAAACAGCACAAACCTCAGGCCCTGGCCTCCAGCGTGGTGTCCAGCCTAACAAACCGCCAGCGGCTTTTCAACAACACAGAGCTCACCAATCTCAATAATTTAAGTGGAAACCCAGCCAAAGGTGTAAACTCTGCGTTCTTGTGCTGCGAGGGCCGGTGTAACTGCTGCTGGCATCAAAGATCCAGCAAACTGCCTGCAGACTCTGGGGGAGGGAGCGGAGGACTGGGCAGCCTGGGGGCGCTGACTGGAGGCAGTGCTGTTGGGGTCGGAGGGGGGAGTCAGTGCTCCAGCTCTGAGTCTCTGGATGGAGGAATAATGCCCCTGTTGCCGCTCTCCCCTGAGGTCAGGGAGGCTATTGAGAGTGTCAGATACATAGCAGAGAACATGAGACTACAAAATGAAGCAAAGGAGGTGAGTGCTCACAATCATAAAAACATGTTAAACCATAGCCTTTAATCAGTAATTTGCTTTTAAGGAAACTATGACAATATTACCATATATTTTCCATATGTTTTTGGTGTGATCCTCTCACAGGTTCAGGATGACTGGAAGTACGTTGCCATGGTTATCGACAGGATCTTCCTGTGGGTTTTTGTCCTTGTGTGCATCCTGGGAACAGCTGGTCTCTTCCTCCAGCCCCTATTGCTTGGGGAGGACATTTGAATCAGTTTGACAAAACTAATACTCCAGACTGTTGAACTGCAAAGTATTCCTTAGATTCCTGCCTCGGCTCAGACAGAGAAAATACAGAGGCGGTCCAAAGTTAAGAAGGGCAGATCACTGTGTCTGCCAAATGTTGATGCAAATGGTTTTGTTGACCGTTTTTTTCACAGATAGAGTCGATGATTTCTGTTTGAAGAAGTGTCTTAAGGACTTTCCAATGCTGAGGACATGGCTTACAAACAATGGTAAAGACCAAATTGTACAAAATTGTTCTGCAGTAAATGGCAATGCAGTCTATAATGCCAAGGCAACACCCAGAATCAAAGACCTGTAATTTTTATTTTGATGAGTAAATGATACATTTGATCACTGATCAAATGTATTTAATCTAAAGCTCCTAATTTCACATGAAGAAAATATGTACATACAGTCACAAATGCAACCGTACAAGACCAACCGTGTTTGAATTACCATTATTTTCCATGAAAAGTAAATTTCAAATATTTTCTTCTTTTAAATTATATGTCATTATTAAGTGCCATGCCAAAAATATATCTGTGTTTATGGTGATCAGAACAACAGAACAGAACAAACTGTGTAACATTTTCCACATTTAACGTGGATTTCCATGATTGTGGCGACCAAGCAAGGTTGTCGACTGTGTTCAAAGAGTGACATCATGTGGGAATTCCTTGCTACTACAAATGATAGCACGACTTTCTGACAGTTAAAGGAATATGTCACCCATTTTGCCATACTGTCTGTATCATATTCCCAGTTGTAAAATGTTATGGAAAGTTATACTGATTTAAATTATCTTATGCATAAAGAGAGCTGCTGTTTGATCTGCATAGCATGACCTTCTGGACTGGGTGACTTGAGAAAATGTCATCTAGAATGTTTTGTGTTCATGCAAATTGAATATTTACAATGTCCTTAAAGTATTTGGTTTGCATCTGTAAATACACATTTCAGTTGTTTTACTTGCATATTTCTGTAAATAAATCTTTAAAATAGTTATGAAAAGGTGTAAGCTGGACCTGTATCTGTGTCACTGAGGCTCTGTTTATTACTCTGTTCCACATCCTCTTTGCCCCCTTGGAGCTAACTCAGTTTATTGGATCACAATCAATATAGAGGGCAAGTGATGAAGGACCTTATCTCTTTTCTTCATCTAACCATTCTTCCTGGCCAAAGACAATTTTCTGCTCTCTTTACGCTGCCTCTCAATAGCTCAGTGCTAACACCACAGGTCTGATGCTGTCAGAGGTAAGGGTCAAATTCTCACGTGTACTTGAAAACTCAAAAAGCCATGGTTGTGTTTTATTTTCTCCACTTGTTGATAAAATGATCTTAAGACACTTCATATCATCATAATCTACCTGTTAGGTACAAGCTACCAGAAACAGAATGTCTGCATTTAAAGAGCTGTGGTTATATGACAGGAAAATATGCCTGCGATGACAGATTTTAAGATTTGCTTGTGTATTTCATCAGCTGATATTCAAAAAGTCTAACTCAAGTGACTCATCCATGTCTGAGCATTGTGCGTGGGGTCTGACTGTCAGTAACTCACTGTCTGATTCTTATTATACAAATAACAATCAGAGCAGATGGCGAGCTGTGTGATTACATGAAAATCCAGCCCATATTAATTGAATGCTGGCAGGGAAGCACAGACAGATACTGTATTAGCTCTCTGTCACATCTGATAAGAAACCCCTGGCCAATGAATTTAATTAAAGCTCACTTAGAACTCATGTGTGGCTGATCTGCAGGAGAGCAGGAGATCTACCAAACAGATACTGTATGATGTACAAAACAAACGAGCTTCTAAAGGTATCAGAGAATATCTTCTCGTGTGTCCTTTTGAGAGATTATGTCTTGCAAAGGTTGACTATGAACAAGGGTGAAAAAAATTAAAGTACTTACTTGCCAACCATCGCTCAATATATAAGCATGCATGATTTTGAACTGACAATGTTTAATTTTGGAGCAAAGGGGTTCAAATGTCACAGCAGAATGCACAGGAAGTGGTTAATTATAGTTTACTGTTGCAGCTGTCTGTAGGTGTAGCCACTGAAATGATAGGTGCCTGTACAGGGTTTCACAAGATGCTGTGGAGGTTGTCTATGGGTGTCACATTGCCTATTACCATGAAAATAATCACCCTTCTTCTATGTAAGTACATTGACAACTGATATTTTTTATTATTTGTATTTATAATCAAGTGAACCTTTGTGTGCAGGTATAAGGAGAAATTATCAATTTAATTTTTCTTTTTCTTCAAGGTGCTCTTGCATATCAAGTCACAAGCGAAACTAATGGTGAGCTCTCTATCATGAGATGACATCTGTGTGCTGTATTCCTAATGTGATTTATTTGCATTGTATCATTTATCAATTCAATGTCTGTCTCTGTCAAATCAATGTTACAGATATTGTTCTTGCGAAGATCCTGACCCAACAGAAATCTATAAGTGAGAACAGTGACCTCTATGTTATCTGCAGCACATTTGGGTTGAAGAAACAGACCGAGGTGTATGTTTATTTATGTAGGAATAACGTTGGAATGATTAAACAAATCCAGAAGAAAGAACATAATGATACCACCTTCATCATAAACAGAGTCGGTCTTCATCACAGTGGAAGTTACAGCTGTGTTTACTCAACACATGATTATTCGCCTTCCGAAGTAACCAAGAAAGCACACGACCCCATTGAGATTTTGGTTATAGGTATGAATTTTCATTCCTATAAAAGCATTATGTCACTGTTATTTCCCTCCACTCATTTTGTCCTTCTGCCGAACAGCCAATTTTCTCTCTGCAGATATTTCAGTAGCCGGGCCGTCGGCTGTCAGTGAGGGGGACGATGTTGAATTCAGCTGTACTGTGTCTGAAACCCTGCAAACACTGGGTGGATGTCAATTGATCCACTCTTACCTTAAGAGGAATGAGACCATCCTCCAAGTACAAACATTTAATGTCACACAGATGGAGGCGACTTTCACCATCCAAGATGCAGTCACGAGGGACTCGGGTAATTACAGCTGTGTGGTGCTGCCATCTAAATGCATCCAAGAGCATGAGAAAACACTCCATGGAAATAACGCAGTATCACTCGAGGTCAAAGGTGAGGGTGTCAGCTCCTCGTGATTAGAAAGTGCAACAGAGGCATCTAGAAAAAAATTAATTAAGTTATTCAGATTTTTCTTTTTGAAATTATAATACATATTTATTGAAATACAACCATGTTCTTCATGCTGGGGCTGACATGTCTGTTCTGCTCTCCAGGGAGTTTGTTTCTCCCAGTGATTGTCTCTTGTGGAGTGATAAGCATATTGATAACACTGGGTATGTGCCTGTGGTGCATCAACAAACCAGGTCAGATGACTGAAGGCAAATCACTCAATTTTAAAGTTCAAATTCTGTATTGCACTTCGGTTCTTCTGTCCTATTGTTACTAACTGATAAAATAAATGCTTATACAACTCTATGAATTATATTTCCTCAGTGTCTTTAGATATACATTTATGATCCTGATCATACCGAATGCATGGTTTACTTCATTCCACATTTATTCTTTTTTTCTATTTCAACAGGCGGCTTCGCTTTGTGCAATCAACGGTGAGTTTTAATCCAATCTTACTGGTGCTGTCTGATGAATTTAAGAGCAGTGGCAAACATATTAACAGATAGCATAGCCTCATAAACTGGGAGTCACTTTGAGTTTTTTTTTCTCTGTTATTTGTGCTAGACTAGATGCAGGATGTTTACACGGGGAACTAAAATATTCTGGATGCACAACTGAACAATCAAACGATGCTGGGCTGATTAAAGGGTTTGCATATATATCTTGAATTGTGTTTTCTTACAGTGCAGCAAGTGAGCAGGCAAATATAGACATGCTGGAGGAACAGCAGGAGAAGACAGAAGAGGGTCTGGAAGCACAAGATGGTATGTTGAAATTGGAATTACAGTAAAGGCATACTCTGGGGAGACTGCAATGAAATTACCTATGATGACTTAGAAAGAAAACACAATCTAGCTACATTATGGTCTGGGCAAATACCTCCTGTCCTTGGACACTTCCCTAGTTATTATTTTTTTCTCTCTAATGCTTCAAATATTTATATGTGTATATCTCTCTTCTCTCTTTTACAATATTTTCTTTTTCAATTATCAGGAGATTCTTTTAGCACGGAGGAAGAAGAAGGGTATGAATAAAAAACTATTTTAATACAAATCTTTACTTTATATTAAAGCATGTGGGGAGTAATGCTTGCTAAGATATGCATGGTATATTAAAAAGCTATAATGTTCTAAACTCTGAGAAATAATGGAATTTGTTAAATGAAACTGACCTGTTACTGAAAGAGGAAAAATTCAGATATGAACTGAACATTTTCACTCACTTTGACTTATATTTTAAAAGTTGACTTTTACAGTTCATCTTGAGAAAAGAAAATTACAATGGATTAAAAAAAAATCTTTCCAAATACATAAACCATAAACTTACTTTTCACAAAAGAATTGCTGCAACATCTTTAAGGGTGCACAATTTTTAATATACAACAACAATATATTATTATTATTATTATTATTATTATTATTATTATTATTACTACTACTCATTGGCAACATTTTCTCAGGTATCAGAATGTTGTGAATGCTGAGGACAGCACTTACTCTGATGGTTTGGAGGGAGTGTACAGTGTTGCAGGTAAGTGATGAAATACTTTGTTCTATTACAGGTTTTTATTCTCTATTGAATGTATTGAAGACTATGATTTCTAACATGCAGATGAGAGTGAGAATGACTACGATGAGATTGATCAGATGTGTGCCAACTAATACATTTTGATTAATAAAGGTACTGTAAAATGTTTAGTTATCATTATAATGAAGGGGCAGAGTCACTCATTTATTTTTATTGTTTGGATGTTTTGTTTCTGTTTGCATACAAAGCTCAATAACAAGACAACATGGGCAGAAAGATTCTAAAAAGAATAAAACATGTCATAAAGTCATCTGCTTAGAAGGCATTACATAGTATGATGCTGCCTGGTTCAGCAGAGCAGGTTTGTCTATCAGTTAGTGCAGTGCATGTTACAGGAAAACCACATCTTAATTTGTTACAACGGGACAGACCTGAATAGCATTTTGGGGTTAGCTTTCTGACTCACAAGGGCCAATTCTCTCATGACAGCTTAAAATAATAACCAAGAAAAAATGCATGCCATCTAACTTTGAACTTCTCAACCACAGATGATTCACCTGCAAGATCAAGTTCAACATATGTGTATGCCACGTCCTCCAAATATAAAAAACGCAAGAAACAATGTTAATCTGATTTTATTGTCGGATACATGCATAACTGTAATGCACCCATGTTTTGTTCTGTCTGTGTCACATTTCATTAAGGTAAGGTAATGTTAAAATGTATAGTGAATGAAGAAGGAACATCTGAACTCCATTATTAGCCTGATCAGTAGTATATGTGGAGGAGGAACTGCTCCTTGTGGCCAAGGGTAAAATAATGTCCTCATACATTACATTTTTACATGGATCTTTTCTTTGTTGCAGAAGGTTTCAATTCATTTTTGCCTATTAAATGAAATTAATGTGTTCCTGCCCCTTTGTACAATCAATGCTTTAAATAATGTACTACAGTTTGTTTTCAAAAACAAACACTGCAAGTGTTGTTGCAGTGATTGACTGTACTTTGTAATAAACAGTATAGAAAACAAATCTCTCTATCTAACATTTAATCACATTTGTTCATTGATGTTAACACTATCCAAACATGTAAAGCATATGCTAATATAACTAAAACTGAAATAAATGGCTGATTTTAACAACAGCGTAATTTTTAAATCAGACATTTGAAATATATTTGGACATACTGTATATGAATACAATTTAAGAAGAGATCTACCTTTACTTCAGTAAAAGTATCT